CTTGATTGCTAGATATAACTTCTGTAAATCTGATTTATCAGACAGCATCATCATCACCATCATCAAATAAAATACTCTTAGCGTTGTCGTCATCATCATTACCATCATCATTATTTGTAATCATTATCAACATCAGGATCTAATTCTGGTAACCTTACCAATTTCTTTCTCGTCTGATCTAACATTTTCATTAACAAGTGTCACTTACTGTGCCTGTTTCATCATCATCACCTTCATTTGTCTACAGAACACATTTATATTTTTGATAATTCTGTTGTAGTGAGGATATTGCATAAAATAATCAGTGGGTGACATCGATCAATGTGTAATGAACCGATGGCTGGTAGGGTGCAAACTAAATTAAACTCGGCAGCAGTTGTGTAAGCCGTTTATAACTACTTGGGTGTGATTCTATATGTAGTCAAAATTCTAGGTTTAGGTAAATTTATTTTTATCCTTATGTTGTAAATTAATTTCAATCAACCATTTTTAAACCCAAAAATTGCCTGGAAATTAGAATTTTTATTAGTGTTATCTTATAGAAATTTTGAAATCAATAAATTTTTTGTATTTTTATGATTAATAAATTTCAAAAAGCATTAATAGGATTGATATTGTTCAACAGAGTCAATGTTGCATACTGATTATGATATTTATTGAAAATAAATCTTGACAAATACCATTTTTCCATTGAAATTTATGAACAATTATTGTCTTTTTGAGCTCTGTAATGATTTCATTAAATCCTCTCTCTCTCTCTTCCTCTCTCTATTACAACCAATGTTATCATCACTCATTACCATCAGCGCTATCATCAACGTTATTGTCAACGTGTATCATCAACACATTATCATCAACACATTATCATCAACGTTATCATCAACATTATCATCAACACGTTATCATCAACACGTTATCATCAACACGTTATCATCAACACGTTATCATCAACACGTTATCATCAAACACGTTATCATCAAATACGTTATCATCAACACGTTATCATCAAACACATTATCATCAACACGTTATCATCAGCACGTTATCATCAACACGTTATCATCAACACGTTATCATCAACGTTATCACCAACACGTTACAATCAACACGTTACAATCAATGTTATTATCAGTGTTATCATCTTGCACTCATACAATATTGTAGAAAAAAATCATACTAATAAGGATTCATTATTTCAAATGTATGGTGAGATCTAATTTCATATCTGTTTTTCATAACTGAATTTTTTCTAATTTATTTTTAATATTTTATATATTTTGTATGTATAATTTGTTTTTAATGTATAATTTGTTTTAAATGTATATTTTATTTTTTAGTTTTTTGGAAAAATTTTTTCCCACACACAGTTAATTTTTTTATTAAAAATAATAAAAGTTTTAACGTTACCATGCAACGGCTCCTCTGATCAGATACCCTACCGATAAGGGTACCCTCTCAACATGGAAATCTGTTACACAGCCGACCTCGCACACCGTGAGGTGTGGTCAGTCAGAAGCCTACCATGTCTTTACTTATACCTTCAGTCTGCAAGGCGAATAACTGGATCTTACAGCTCCAACGTCAACCCCAAGATCCCCCATACATAGTCTAACGCCTGAATCCTGATCAGGGAGGCTTAATGCTAAACCATATACGAGAAACCCTGTAACTGAAGATTGATACCAGTGATCAACTAATATCGAATAATCAGCTGCCTATCACTAATGCGAAAATTTGAATTATATATTTACTGAAAAAAATTTTTTTTTTAATTATGGGACACTAACACACTCATTTAACAATATTTCATTGGATAAATTCTATTTACTAAATTTTATTTTATTTTCTTTATTATCATACAAACACAAACAAATGTGAATTCCAAAAATATAGAGTATTGCGACTGTGCGAAAGTCAAAAGGTTTCGCCATAAGTTGAAACTGGTATTGACTTTTGACTTTTGATTTAGTTTCGACATGTAACTTTTTGACCTTGCCTCTTCAAAATAGTTTTGGCGACCAACATTAATACAAACATAAAACAGTTTTCAAAAACATACTTGATGGATGTTTTAACAATTATTCGATAGAAAAGGTAGAGTTGTATGTTAGGCAGATTTGTGTTAAAGTGATTGTTAAAAAACAAGATACACGATCTATGAAGCTTCCAGGTTTGTAAATATATCAATTTTCTTTTTTATTTACGATCAACATCCTGCGATCATACATGAATCTATAACGCACATAATGATATTAATATTGTATTCTCCTGCAACCATTAAATATAATAGTAATAAGAATCTCGTTGAAAAAAAAACCAATAATATAATAATATTATAAGTAAAGGAAAATAAAAGGATATACTTCAAGTATGTCGTGAAGATTGTCAGAAGCTGCATTAAAAAAGTATAATAATGAAAATATTAGAGTTGGTAATAATAATAATAATATACAGTACAAGTTTTTTGTTCTTTACCATCAAAACCTTTACCCGATATAAATAATTCACTATCTAACAGTTTTACTATATACTACTCCACCACCACCACCACTTATATTTCTGCTATTCCTTTCTCCTCTTCTTCTATTTTTACTACCAATCAAAATCAATTAATGACAGTTGATGATTTAACTCGAATTCTCAAAGATATAAAGGTTAGAAAACAAGTGCGTCATAATAATGTTGAATTTTAATCATAATTTTAATTCATCACTACTGACAACATCAATTTAAAAAACAGAGCGCAGTTTTTATGTTGTTTATGATGAAACAATTATTTATATAGAACATTTTTACAAAATAGAAGCACAATTCATTAACAATTTCGCCTAATTAAAACTTTTTATTGATGATACAAACTAATATGTATGCTGTATATGATGGTGATTGAATTAGGTGGCGATGGATTGGTTGAAAAAAACGAAATCAAGTGATCCCGACTTTTATTATTGGATGAAGCCTAATAATCAACATAGGTAAATATTTTTTAAGTATTTGTGTTGGAATTATTAAACCAAATGGATATATTGATCCTTCATTCGAATGTTTGTTGAAATTTCTGCAATTGATTCAAATTCCATCTAATCTATATCCTAATTAATTTATTTAAATCGTTATCCAAAAAATGGTGGTCAATTTATTCGGTAGGGGGAAGAAAATCTATAAATGTCATAATTGCATTACGCAATTTTGACATGTATCAAACAAAATGTAAGCTTTTAAAATCACATATCCGGTCAACAGGTACATTGTCCAATTTGCCAAGTAATGATAATAATAATACCAAGACCATGCAGAAATGAGATTTAAAGAACCACTTTCAGGTAAGAAAATTGGAAAATAAACCTTTGATAATTTTAATCCGATCCTCTTTTTCATGTAGGATAATGGATCTATCCAAATAGTGTTGTGGAGAATTTTAGTGGTCAAGCTTCTAAATTGGTTCCCTTCATTTTGTGCATTGTGCGCATGTGTGTATGCATGCCTGCTTCCCGATTGCATACAATTACAAGTCATAGCATGATTTTTCATAAATTGAGGACAGGTTCAACCTTCGAACTTTTATTATTATTGTTACATGAATTGTTAAACCCATACAAAATATATGATACAAAATAAGGAATGGACTTGGCACAATTTAAATTACGCTATAAAATATCATCAATTCCCTTCGAAATCATTGCAACAACAAAACAATTATATAATAATAGTCGAAAAACCAATACTTATCCCTAGATTGGAAAGGGATGACTTGGGAATGAATGAGATAGAAATTTGGTGCAATTAGCCGTTTATTAAATGGAAAATCTTTAATGGGCTTTCAGCTGCCACAATGAGCAAGAAAAGGCACTCAAAATGCACACTTGGACATACAAAACAGCACTGAGAGAGCATAATAACAACGTGGGAAAAGTAAAAAAGTCAGATATTATCAGACTTTCCCAAGATTCATAATATTAATGGCCGTTATTGATGAATATGCAAAATTATTTATTATCTTTACAATAATTCAAAAATTTCTTGTTAAATCGCACGACAAGAATTATTTTGATTTATGAAAAATTCTTATTACTTTAACAATCATAAATTACCCGCCCCACCTTTTTATCAGAAATAGAAACTTTATTTAGAATTTTATACTCTTTCCGAATTAAAATAAAAAAACACGGTAAAATACATATCTCAATACATTGGAGTCATAATACCATCTCCTAGAACCACTTCTCTTATTTTTTAGAGAATTTAATGTGTATATATAAATTACGAGTTACTAAATTTTCACTATAAAAATAGCACACATCAAAAGTCATCAAAACCTACATCCTTTTTCATCATCCAAATAGTCGAAGATTAGAAATTTTGATTTACATAATATGTATATTTTGTTAATGTAAATTGTTTTACTTAACAATATTCTCTCGGCTCAAAGGTTCATTCCAAAAGCATTTCAACTTCTTCCGAATGGGTTTGCCAACTATCAATAAAATTAATACAACGAATGATTGCATAAGTATATATAACATTGATATTAAAAATAGTGATAATAATATTTAGTATTTACGTCTAAAGGAGTTTTTTGAAAAAAAAATATTATGAAATTTTGGTTTTAAAATAATAATCATGTAGTTATCCGCAAAAAATATCCGCGATCGCCAAATCGATTTCTAAATAAGGATAACACGCACCCAACCCACCAATAAAATTGGATATTTTCATGATGCTGCGTAAAATTGCATTTCTAAAAAAAAATAATAGATCATTAAAGAGAGATGGCCTTTAAATTTCCTAGTTCTTTTATTCATAAAAAGGAAATTAGTGACATTTCTAAATTCAATATATTACTATTACTATCACTAAATTTACTTTTCGCGACTAAATTTTTCAATTCAACGCATCCTAAGTCCTGATTGGTTCCCTTTGACACGTGATATAATTACATGTTATTATGTAAAAAAACGCGATTTTTTTTAAAAAAAGTAAATATATCAAAACAAAATATAATGGAACTTAGCACTTTCTACAATCAAACCCTAAACCTTTCCTGTTTCTCACCAAACTCTAAATATATTGCAACAGTTTTACAAAGTAAACTCATCATTCGTGAAGTTCCAACTTTAAAAATTTTGTCAACAATAAGCAAACCAAACTTTAAAATACAAGAAATATCTTGGTCACCAAATTCAGAATATGTTATGACAGCATGTTATAAAACCGGAAGTATTTCAATATTTAGTGTAAATTATAAAGATTGGATTTTCCACATTGAAGATTGTATAATTGGTTTAGCTAATGTAAAATGGAGTTGGGATGGAAAATATATTTTATGTTTTTCTGATTTTGAGGTAATTAATTAACCATATTTTTCATTTTTCATATTATTAATTAATAATAAATTTACATTATTATTATTACATATAGTATTGTATTACAATATGGTCATTAACTACTAAAAATACTTTCTATATCCAAAGTCCTAAATATTATGATAAAGGTAAAAAAGATTAATCGATTGATTAATATTTAATATATTTATTAATTTTAATCATCGATTTATTTTTTTTTTTTTAGGATTTGATTTTCGAAACGATGGACGTTATTTTGCACTTACAGAAAGACGTGAAGGAAGAGATTATATAGGAATTTATAATTGTGAAAAATCTTGGCTATTGACAAAAGTAAAATCATCATTAGATCATATATATTCATGTGTTGTTATATAATTAATTTGCCCATACACACAAAAAAAATATACATTGTAGCTTTTTCCAGTTGAAACGTCAGAATTAGAAAATCTAGCATGGTCACCAGATGGAAAATTTATTGCTGCATGGGACAAAATTATTAATGTAATAGATAATAAATAATGTTAAACTTATTTAAATTTTCATAACAATAATATTATAACTTTTTTTTCATAGTACAAAGTTTTAATTTATACACCAAATGGAAAATTACATCAATCATTTTCTGCATATGATATAGGCTTAGGAGTAAAAACAGTTACATGGTCACCTACATGCCAATTTCTAGCAATTGGAAGTTATGATGAAAAAGTATTTCATTCTTTTCTTCCTAAATGAGTCTTTTTAAAGAAAACAACATAAATGAATAATTAATATTATTTTTATTTTAGATTCGACTTTTAAGTTATTATACTTGGAAAGAAGCTAAAGAATTATACCATAATGATCCAGACGATATTCAAGAACTAGTAAAAATTTATTATAAAAAGATTTTTATAATATATGATATTTCTATAAATTTATAATTAATATAATAATTTAAAGGTAATATGGAGAGAAACTTGTGAACTTGATGTAAAACTTGGTAAAACAGTTGTTAAATGTAAGGAAAATTATTATTATATATATAATATAATATATTTCATTCATACATGATTTAGAAAAAATACATTGATTTATTTTTAGATGAAACCATTGAAGAATCAATAGAGTTGGAGCAAGTATTATCGGATCCTAAACAACCGAATCCAAAATTAGGAATTGGATTATGTAAATTTAATAGTGAAGGAAATTTACTAGCATCACAAAATGGTAATTGATTGATTGGGATGCATACACACATTCATATATATATGCATATACCGTACTTATTTATTTATTTATGGCGGTAGATAATATGCCAAAGTGTTTATGGGTATGGGACCTTTCATTGATGAAGCCAATAGCTTTCATTATACAAGACTCTTCAATTAGACAATTCTTTTGGCATCCTTCTGAACCAAACAAACTTGTAATTTGTTGTGGTAATAATAATGTATATTTTTGGTCTGGAAATTCTACTGATATCATTGGGATGCCTTCTGGTAATATTAATTTTTTTAACATAATAATAAGTTGATATTAATTAATTAATTCATAATTTTTTTTTCAGTAGATTTTCAGGTGACGAATATTAGTTGGTCATCAGATGGTAAATTTTTATTATTAATGGACAAAAGTTTATTTTGTTTGTTAACATTATAATAATAATAAAAGATTTCGGAATAAATATTTTTCTATTTGATCCATTTGATATATTTGTTAAAACATTCAAACTCACTAACCGACTGTTTTCCAAAAAAGAAATTTTCTACAGACCATTCTTTTATATATTTATATATTATATTTTAAATGTTTTAATATTAATATAAATATAAAAATTAACATTAATATTAAACGTGAAAATTTCAAATTTGATACCAAACCGTTCTTTGCCTTTGTATATACAAAAAAAATTTTTTGGTTAATAATAAATTATATGTGTAATCTCAAAAAATCTGTCCGCCATTCTTTTCGCCGGAGACTGTATAAGCATTATATTATCTTGTTTATTTGGAAGGTTATGCATATAATATTATTTTTTTTTTTAGCAAAATAAACGTGAAAGTGATGTATCATCATCATTCTAAAAAAAATTTCGACAACTAAACAAATAAAAAGTGATTGGAAATAATGATTCAATAAAAATCTTAACTCACACTCAAGATTTATGTTCGGCGTTTTGATTGTCATCATTGTTGCTTGCCTTCAACATTAAAGATTTCTGATGTTGGTTGTAGCTGTGATGGTGTTAGTTGTGGTAACGCCAATTGTGATAATTTTGGAATTTTGATTTAAAGTCTTTGCTTCTTTTATTTTTTTTAGTTTCATTGGTTGAATTACTATCATCTATCATTTTTTTTGCAACCGAAGGATTAATTTTGATAGGAAATGTTGTCGAGGCTTTGTTACCTGACGTGGTATTGGAGTTGGTTTGAATTAACAAAAGATGGTGAATGAGTATCATTTTTTAATCCGTTCACTAATTCTTGGTTTCCAGATGGAAAATTAATGTGACCGCGATTTGGTTTTTTTGAAATTGGTTCAAGGTGTTTTTCTGTTGTTTGTGATACTCATTAAAACTAATATCCATTTTTTTCTTTTCGTTTCGGAAATAGATGATGGATTTTCCATCACAGTTCCATTTACCACAACAATAACATCTAATGTGTAAACGTTCAAATAATTATCACTTAATTATTTAAACAATGTTAATGAACAGGTACTTTAATTGTTGTTAAATTAAAAAGTTATCTTTATTTTATTCGAATTTGATTCTTTAAATAATAAAATTACAATTCTTAAAATACAAATATAGATCATGAAAGAAATAAAGAAATAAATAAAATTATAATCTCTATATTGTATGGAAGCTTATAGACTTCCCGGAAAGTATTAATCTTAAAAGATAACATTCATAATAAATATAATATAATAATAATAATAAAAATAATAATAATATAATAATCATTATACACCATCGCCAAAACTCCTAATAAAAATATCAATAATTCAAGGAAAAATAATATTCATAATTCTTCGAAGTAAAACGCAATAATCCCGATTGCCAAATTAGTAATAGCGAATTTAAACAAAACGAATTTTTCTACATTACCAAATATGGTATGAATTAATTGCCTAATTTCGACTAGAATTATTTTACTGATCAATCAAGATTAAAGATTGTTACATGATTATTATTATTGTTGTAATTAAATATATTATTTGTTATTTTAGTTTAAAAATTATACAAAGTTTCATGATAAAGTTTATATTTATGGATTGACACAAGATCCAATTACAAAAGAATATATATCTGTAATGCATTATATGGAAGATGGAAGTCTTCAAAATGATGAATATTCAAAGAAAAGAAAAGAGAGATATGGGGAATGTCCAACCTGCAATAAATATAATACTAAATATTCATGGTGTCAATCATGTGATCCAAAGCTATTAACTGAAGGATGGACTAGTGGCAATGAAACATTAGATGAATTGATTAAAAGCACACAACTTAAAGCAACAAGATATGATGATTATTATTATCTTCAATGGATTTCTTATGATGATTTAACAAATATTGAAAAGATAGGTGAAGGTGGATTTGCAACTGTATCCAAAGCTACTTGGTTAAATGGTTATAAAAGTATAGATTATGAAAATAACAAAAGAATTAGCAAGGATATGACTGTAGCACTAAAACAATTACATGATTCTCAGAATATTTCTGATGAATTTTTTAACAAGGTAATTTATTTTATTTTTTTATTTATTTCAAAATTCTTTAAATATTATTGATTATTATTTATTATTTAGTTCCAAAATTATACAAAACTTCAGGATAAAGCTAATATAATTCATGTTTATGGATTAACACAAGATCCAATTACAAAAGAACACATATTTGTGATGGATTATATAAAAAATGGAAGTCTTCAAAATTATTTAACTACAGAGTTTAAAAATTTAAAATGGAAAAACAAAATTACGATTCTTTATTATATTATTAAAGGTTTAAAAGATATTCATGAAAAAGAAGTTATTCATCATGATCTTCATAGTGGTAATATTCTTCAATTTTATAATAATTCATGGATTGCATACTTAGGATTATCATTCCCAGCTAGTCAAACATCATCAAACAAAAATGATATATGTGGAGTACTATCATATATTGCACCAGAAGTTTTAAAGAAGAAACCATATACAATGGCATCAGATATATACAGTTTTGGAGTTCTGATGTCTGTAGTATCAACTGGCCAACAACCATTTAATAATTTGGCACATGATGAATATCTTGCAATGAAAATATGTGAAGGTGTAAGACCAGAATTTTCAATCAATACACCAAAATTTTATATTGAACTAGCTTACAGATGCATGGATGCTGATCCAGATAGACGTCCAATTGCTAAAGAAATTTGGAAGATTATTAATTATTGGTATGGTTCATTTCAACATTATGGTACAGGTGATGAATATAAATCAATTAGAAAAGAGTTTGATAAAATGGATGAAATAGAATTTGATCCTTCAACAATTACTGCAGTAATTCATCCAAATGCAGTTTATACTAGTAGATTATTAAATTTTACAAACCTTCCCCAACCTGTGAATTCCAATAAAGTAACAATTATTAGTAATAATAATGGTAATTATTAATATTCAATTATTGACTATTTTCATTTTTATTAAAATTAAAATTAACATTATTATGTTATAAATTATCATATTATGTTATAAATTATTATATCTATAGTTTCTCATCTAATGGATATATTAATTTGATTATTTATATTTAATATTATATAAAGCTAATAACTTCCTGCAAGTATCATATCCTTGGATTTTTTTTTTTCATTTTGAAATTTGAATGTCAAATATGCACACTAAATAAAAAATAATAATTTTTGACAAAAAAATGTAATTTTTAATAATCATTGTTATCATTCATACATAATTGCAGTATTGTTTGTCTCTTACTTTTTCAAATAAATGTTTTCATTTTTTTATAGCATTAACAAATTGAAGTGATGTACTTTCAATATATCATAAAATATATATAATATATAAATAATTTATTAATATAAAAATTTTAAATTAATACAATGTATCTGAATAATTTAAATATAATAAAAATTATACCTAAATTATTAAATAAAAAGCCAACTGACACAAACTACAGTATACTGATTGTGAGTTTTGTTGAATCAAACAATGTCAAACTTCTGATCTTATTTGGAAACCCTGATCTGAAAGCTTTGATGTTTCCCCAATGGAAAGGGAGACTATGAGTATATTAAAAAAATACTACCCTCAATAGATAGCTAGGTACTTCTTGTATTAGTACTAGCCACATTGATGCTTGAGAAAAGAAGAAATTTTCAAAATTAGAACCAGATACTGGCCACCAAAAATGCAAACATCTATCAAAAACCACAACCTTGCCTTCGAATTTGCCCCCCTTTTTAAAAAGAAATAAATGTGTAGAGGCTTCCTCAGATCTTCTACACCTTGATGATGACCAAAGACAAACAGGCTCACTTGCATAAAATGGCAATACCATGCCAAGCAATCACCCATTGCACATCTACCTGTACTACCACAATATGCCAGAACAAGTTGTGGAAGGACCCTGGGATGGTGAACATTATCTAATCAGAAATCAAATTGTATCTTCACTAGAAGTTTTCTCATTGCTTCATTATAATTATTCACTGCAATTATGTGTAATTCATCAGAAATTTCCTTGAGTATTCATCTAACCTATCAAGATTTAGATAACTTATAAATCTATCCAATTTATTGATCCATTTTAATCTTAACCATTCCATTATTTTATCTCCTATATTTATATAATTGATGTCTTCCCTCTTTATACTAACATTATGTTTGCAATTTTTACTGGATCTTCAATTTGCTTTATAATTTTAACATCAGTTCTGATGGTAGTACAAACTCTGGTGTTTTCACCTCTACATACTCTATTTCTTCTCTGACCTCTACTAGATCACCAGCTTTGAATGGGCCCCTACTATCATTGAGGGATTTTAGTGCATTACCAATATAACTGAAAATTTGAGTAAACATTATTAGTTTATTTTTATATAAATTGCAGAAATGCTTAATTTGAAAATTTTATTAGTTTTATTGTTTTGGTATCAACTGCTCCAATTTGCTATGCAGATTGTTTTCACTTTGCTCTTTACCTATTTGTGTACTGAATTTTGTTTTCTTGATATATCTATCTACCTTGTGTACTTATTTTATTTTCTACTTTGTTCTCTGTAGCTTGTTTATAAATACTGTGACAAATTTTTGTTTCCTGGAACATGTTTCACACCACATTTTCTATGTGGCCTAGAAAAAAATAATATACTATGGTATAAACTTAATTATGTTGAAATGATATGAAATTAGCCTCTGGAACACTTTGTGGATATAAATAATATAAAAAATCTAGTAAAAAAATATGGTCTCTGTCCAGAACCGGCAAAATTACACAAGACAATGATCTGCTCACCTTCATCAGCTATACCTTCACAGTAATAACTCAACACATATAACACCTTGATCTTTTTCTTTTTCGTATTGGTATGTTGACATTAATGTGGCTCACATCAACCAATCCTTTTTTTCTAGAACTTGCTTTCAATATCAGAATCACTAACTATGTTAAAAAAAAAATCATTTAGATTAATTTATAAGAATCTAATTTTTATAATTTTTTACCATTATTATATTGAAGCATCATTGTTTTCTCAAGTTGTATTTGTAATTGAATTTTCATAATTGTGGAAAAAATCTATTTCCCAAGTATCTTGTTCGATTTTTTTCAAAATAATTAAATCCGTAATGTAAATTTTTATTCATTTATTCATTTATTTTGTTTTATTCAAATTATTTGTTTTATTTCAAATTTCGAATTATTTCAAATTATTCGTTTTATTCAAATAGAAACCCTAGTTCTAGTCAAGTGCAAGGTTTTGCACATGTACTATTATTGCAGGTGAGTTCTGGTAAAGTGTATCAGTTTTTTTTCCAGCTTCATATACTCTTAAAAAAAAAAATAGAAATATACTATATACTTGAGGCATCACTACAAGCAATATAGTAAAATTAAAAGGGTTCCTAACTAATAGTTAAAGGTTGGCCAAACCATTAATTATCAGAAAGGGTTATGAATCAACCAACTTTATTAATTATTATCAAATGTATATTATTAAAAAATTGGAGATTTTTAAGTGTATTTATACATGATTTTTTACATGATTTTGTCCAATAGAATATAATAAATAGAATGATTAATAATGAATGTCTAATATTAAATGCCAAAACGCGTCATTGATGTTGTCATGATATAAAATACAACAATTGGTCCTCGATTTGCTATTATTATCTTGCATGGCATTTTCTTGGTTTATTTGGGTCATGTATATTATCATTTTGCATATTCTCCCAAGCAAGCTGTGTTAAAGTCAGTTTTCTCTTTTGAAATTCTCCCCAACATTAGGAAGTTTTTTCCTACATAGGACTTACATTTAAACCTCATCACAAATAATAATAATAGATAATAAAAATTAGCGGATATTTTTTTGTGAAATGACAAAATTTTGTGGGTATTCTGGTGTTCCACGAAATTACCAGATATAAAAATTATTTCTGAAAATGAAAAAGAATATTGTAAAGAAAAGTTTATTTATGGCTTGAATTAAATAACGCAAGGAATAAAAAAGGCAAACCAAAAGAATGTAAATTGACAAGATACTCTGATAGAATCTGTGAAGATTGTATTAGTTTACAATTACAGTGTCTTTTCGCCATTTGGACATCTGGAAATAACATAATTGATGATTTTATTCAACAATGTCAAATGACATCATCTCTGCCAAATTATATTTTAGAATGGATACCTTTTGAGCAATTTAAAAATGTAAAAAAGTTAACTGAAGATGGGCTTAGTTCAATTTATACTGCAGTATGGACAAGAGGTTATATAATTAATACAATGAAAATAAAAGAATTTAGTCGATTTGGAAAGCAAGATATAGTATTAAAAAGTTTAGATAATTCAAGAAAAAGCTTTTTCGACGAGATTGGTAGTTGTTATTTAAAATAAAAATAAATAAATAGTGTATTATATAATGTTAATCAGTTTTACATTTAATTAAGGCAGTAAATTATTATAAAATTAAGTCAAATTTAATTGTAACATGTTATGGTATAACTAAATTTCAGATGATGTAATTATGCAATGGTTTTGAATTATGTGCTAACATTAAAAGATAGAATTACAATCTTTAGATATTTGTGTGATGCATTAAATACATGATTTATTGTGATGGAATTATATCACATGTTGAGTCAAAATCAAATTGTACGAATTAAAAAATTTTGGGTGGAATCAAAATTCTGATTGGCTAATTTGAATTACATGCGCGTGAATTTAAAACTCACTATATCTGAAGTTTTTTTAACATAACTAATAAGATTAAAAATAATAATTAACTCTTTTTTCAAATATCAAATCTAAACGATTTTCTACAGTAATTTATCATTTTTGTCCTTGACAAAAGTATTCGGACACCTATTTTTACTAATTATACAAAAGCGCACATAATAACTATACATAAAATTTTGTTAACATGTAGCTTAGGTTTGGTGAATATGCATGTAAATTTTGATGTCTAGAAACATTCTAATTAAAAAAATCCGAAATTCGACGAAAATCACGATATTATTTTTTGTTTCTCAAATTTACCAAAATCCTACATATTGATAAAAATAAAAATTGTCAATTTTTAGCTTAGATTATCTAGAATATGAATGCAAAATTTTGTAATTTTGCTATATAGCATAAATAATTTATAATAATATTAAAAAAATTAGCAATTACAGTATTTATAAAAATCAAAGATTGACAAAATTTTTAAATGTAAAATGCCAAAAAACAAAGAAGAAAAAATTTGGGCCTTCATGAAGGTACCTAATTGATCCTCACATACCCAAATCTTAATCCAATTGAACATCTTTGGAGTGAACTGGGGAGGCAATTAGATAAGTGAACAAACACAATACCCCCCCCCAAAAAAATGCCAATGAATTGAAAGCTGCTTTACAAGAAGTGCGGTCAAGAACTCTATACGAAGCTTACTATAAATTAATAGAAAGTATATCTAAAAGAGTTGAGGCATGCTTTTCTAGCAATGAATAGCCAACTCGATATTTATGGCCAATAGTTTTGATGTATGTAACTTTCCATATTTATCGAATTTTTCAATAAAAAGGGTTAATGTGTTTGTCATTTGCCTTATATATCAGAATTTGTGTGTCTGATTCATTTTGTCGACAATCATTTTGTCGACAGTCATTTGTGACACCCATTTCGTCGAAAGTTTGCTTCGTTGAAAGTTTGTTTCATCGAAAGTTCATGTTCATTTCGTCGAAAATTATTTCGTCACAAAAAAAAACTCCATTAAACAAATTTCTCCTCACACTTCCCACACACTCCGCTTTCCTCACCTAATTTCTTAACTAACTTCCCACACTCCTCACATCTAACTCGCTCGGTCTCTGGCTTGAGGATGAAATAATTTTCGACGAAATGAACTTTCGATGAAACAAACTTTTGACGAAATGGTTATCGACGAAATGATTGTCGACAAAATGATTTTCGACTAAGTAAACGCGACCAAATATATATATATATATATATGTATAAGCTTGAATTTTCTTCATTTGTTCTATTAACACTATCAATATATACGTGGTTCAACCCACTAATCAGTATCTCATTAATTCGAAGCACTAATTAATACTCTGTTAAATTCCAGAAACAGTTGTAGTAAATCCACCCATTAAATCAAGTTTACTAAACAGACAGAATTTTTAATATTATTAATAGCACTAACGTCTTCGGATCAGCCGATTTGATTATGTATATAGATAAATTTGCAATAATGGAATATATATTATTTTTTTTTGATAACAAAAAATACCAAAAATGATGGATCAATTAAAGAGAGAAAGCATTTATAGTCTAAAGAAGAAGATTTATTTGTAATATTTATTGAAATATAAGCGCTATATGATTTATAACAACAAAAATAAAATAATTTTATTTTTAATGACATATTTAGGACAGAAAACAACAATTACTGCACACTTATGAGAACCATTTATACAAATTCAATAAGCAAAGCATGCAGTGCTGTCACAAAAGCTTGTTCTAAAAAAAGCCATCAGATAATCGATTTGTATCATGCAGCAGCAAAAGCATAATTCGCGAAATGCTCCAGAGTATTGGTAATATTTATTTATTGTCAATTTAATAACAATTTCTCTTTGATATGAAATAAAACACAAAATTTTGTATGAATATTTAGTAAAGAAAAAATTATTGCTATATATTGTTTTGCTATTTGTTTTTATTTATTATTTGCCTTCACAATAAACTTATATTTGTTGTTTCATTTCTGTTGAATAGGTACCAGTATTGGAATCTTCGTTTGTATTGGAATCTTCGTTTGTATTGAAATCTTTGTTTGTATTGGAATCTTCGTTTGTATTGAAATCTTTGTTTGTATTGAAATCTTCGTTTGTATTATCATTTGATAGATAATAGTCGATACAAGATGTTCTGTTAATTCTAGTGTTTGTTAAAAAAATCCTTCCGATAATGATGTTTCCAACAGACCCACTTAGAGTCAAAAGAATTAAGTTAAATATAAAATGAAATGTACTATCACCAGCATTAACAAATGAAAACGCTAGAATGAGGGTTATTGAAGCTAAAAACACCATTCGAAAAAGAAATTTTTCCTTGTAACCGTCTCTATCGTTGATAATTTTTTGTAAAACCAATATTTTTCTTATGAAAAGAAACAAAAGTGAAATGATGAAGAGTGCTGCCAATATGTATATAACAATCATATATTTTTCGACGTTATTGAAGTCAGAACTTTTGATAACGTTTAAGATAATTATAGAAGCCAAAATAGACCCTGGAATAATTATATAGTTTAGACAAAAGTTGCTAATATGGAGTATTTTACTATTCCATATAATATTTGCGATGGAGAAGATGAATGACATGATAAATATTACCCCAAGTGCTGGTAGAAAAATTAAATGTACCATTTTATGGACATCACCAATAGGATTATTTGGGCTGGAGACGATTTGTGTCACTCTAATCGCAAAAACTGTGAACCCATAAGAAATATAAATTACATCTAATGCTTTATCCAAATGCGGTTCCAGTTTTTTTTGGAATAAAGAAGATAAACATGCCCCAGCGAATAATAAAACAAAGGAGAAAAAATTTTCAAGGTCTGCATCATTATCCATTTTGTGGGTGAATATTGACTAGTATTGAGTATTTATATGTTTTGAATTTGTGTATAAAACACAACAGATTTATTGTGTTTCAGCTGCGTGAAATTCAAATTAGTCAATCCCCCAAAATTAATTGACGATCCAGTGAAATGTCGATCTTTTTATTATTAAAAAACGGAAGTAAAATTTTATATGATGCAAGTCACTTAGTCCCACAACTTTTTATTGGTCGTGTAGATTTTTAAATTCTCCAAAAATGGAAATGAAACACTCCAAAATAAATCATGTATTTGAAGCCAAGACCTTCCTCTACAAAATTACGGTTTCATCTTATTGATATGTCATGTTGTTGTGGAGAATTTTGAGCTTCAAAGTTGCACAAGTTTACCGAATTTACTATGTTTAGCCCTAAAATGACGTGTAACACACAAAAAAGTTAATATCAAAAATAGACGAATTGAAACAAAATAAAAATTTGAAAAATCTCCCTTATTATTATATTACAGATCTTTTGTCACGTGAATTTTCCAGATGAACGGGAAAAGAATTATCTTTATCATTAAAAAAATACAAAGAACAGCTAAGCTCATTTATTTTAAATCTAATAAATGGACTATTGCATTAATCAAAGAAATATGCAATTTGCAAAATATTCTAATGAATGTTTATCAATTATTTAATAGTTTGTGTAGGAGTAATTGAAGTAAGCTTTAAGGACAAGCAAGATCTATGAACAAAATATACTAACAAAGGTTTTATCAATCATTCAATAGTTTATATAAATTTCTCTTTTATTGTAACTAATATTTAATAACATCACTATAATCATTATTGTAGTTGTTTATTGTTCTAATCATTATTTACATAGGAATAAATGTAAAAGAAAAATTTTAATTAATATATTTATTTAGCACTTGACAATTTTCAAAAATCATGTGACTGTAAAATTTTTATTGCATTTTGATTGGAAATTTTTTCTCAAAATTGGCGGCGTGGCACAGAAAGTTGTGGGAGAATGAACTGCACCACATCCGTCACGTGATAATTTTTTGATTTTTTTTTGCAGCGTTTTTGAAGAACTCTTTTCTTGCATTAATTACTCGTGGTATCTGTTATTTTTCATTTTTAAGTTTTGGAGATTCGTAATTTTAAAAAAGTTTCGGGATTTAAAAGCAATTTCAGAGTTTCAAAATAGTTGTTTAAAGTTTAAAAACAGTATCGGAATTTCAAATTTTCGAAAATAATTCAGAGTTTTGAAATAGTTTGAAAAAAATAATATCTAAATTTAATCAACATCACAAAAACAAGCAGCTGAAATTGCAAGCTCTAATTAATTAAAACAATGCTTCATAATTTCTTAATTATAATTTTAACTAGTTTGTTTCATTCATTAATTTATTATTATAATAATCTAATAAACAATCAATTCATAAATATTGAGAAAAAAACTTTTTTATTTATTTGTTTATCAATCATTCAATTATGAATAGTAAATAGTAATACATATCGACTGATCGGAAAAGTCACCCAAATTTTTTTGAGATCATCAAGAATCGCCCTAAATTTTCTTGATTTTATATGAAAAAAAGAAGAAAAAAATCTCATACACAAACTTGCTTGATTTAATCAAATTGTTACTTGAATGAAATTTTATGTATTGCAAAAAATAAAAAAAAGCAATTATTATTTTTTTTGAATGTGAGCAATAATAATAATAAATCATATATATAAAATGTTTAAACCAAAAACAAATTTCTTAATATTAAGGCAACTATCTTTAACAATTTGATGTAGTTAATTAATGTACATATTGTTATGTCAAAATAACCAATGACCATATATTAATATAAAACATGCAAATCCTTGTCACTTACTTTTTCACTCAATTCAATCCCATTGTGAATTGAAAGTAGTAGTCCTTATAAAAAATAATTCAATCCTGGGAATTTTTGAGTGATTTAAAATTCTACAGTAAGTTAAAAACCTAAAGTGTATCCTTATGTAAGATAATTAATAGTTGTATATAAAATGTCCAAGCCTCGCCACTATTCATTCACTCAATCCAATCCCATTGTGGATTGAAAGTAGTAGTCCTTATAAAAAATAATTAAATTCTGGGAATTTTTGAGTGATTTAAAATTCTACAGTAAGTTAAAACCTAAATTGTATTCTTATGTAAAAATAACTAATAGTTACATATGGAAAATATAACCCTTTGGAGCTTTGTTCTGAAATATTCAAACCTTGCTTGGTGTACAGTGTCAAAGGTCTATAATTAATAAATAAATTTCTTTATTGTTAATTATTATTTCTCCAATTCTTTGTATTCATAATAAAATTAATTACTATTATTATTATATTTGTTTACCTTAATAAATTGTCATCATAATAGTAATTGCCAAATTATCTGATTGTGTGACTGTGTTATTTCGTGTTTAGTTAAACTAGAATATCTTTTGTAAAATTTTCTATATACTTTATATTCAAGCTTGTTGCAAGATGTACTAATTGAGGACATAGGTATACAACTAGATTGTCCTTGTTAATATTTTTTTCTTAAGATTATTAAGCAAACACTATAATTTCTTAAAATATTGACACATTATAGAACAAAAAAGTAACTTACAATAAATTTATCTTGGTTTCTTACTTGAAAGTTATTGATGGGTTCCTTCCTCGTTTGATGGGTTCCTCGTATATATTAAGAATATTTTATTCGGGGTGTTTTATAAATTTAGTGAAGAATTATTTTTACATATAAAAAATTTCACTCATCTCTATATCCCCAAGTGTAAACAGTTTATTTTTTTCAATATTCCTGAAAAAAAATACATAAATATGTCCTTTGACATTAGCTTCATAACGCAAAATAAAAAAATCATTTTAAAATACAAAAGTATAATACCATTTTTTTATACAAAGTCGTCAACTAGCAAAATTTTGACATTTTTCCTCCACCGTTTCATAGACGGATCGTCAATTGATTATTCATTTTGGCTTACATCAGTAATGCTTTAGCCTTTGACTTTTATTAATAGGGATTCAGTTAGAGATTCTTCTCCATCACACGCAGAATCCTTAATGGAATCCCTAAAAAAATATTCTACAGGATTTCCTTAATATTAATTCGTGGTCCGCCGATCAAACGGTGGAAATTTATTTATTCGGGATATTAAACTTATCATTATTATCAATAGAACTACAGTCAGAACTTGTTAAACCAATGTACTTTGTTTTGGGCACAAAACATTGTCTTATTAAATGTTAGTTTTATCAAGTAATCTTTGATAAGACGAAGTTAATATATTTAAAAAAAAAAATTCGGCTTAAAAAAGTTATTCATCTATACGTGTATTATGTTAATGCACTAGTGAACTTTTATATAATAAAATGCTACTTCTAACAGAACGAATACCATCTTCTAGACCTGAATATTTTCCTTTGCGTAAACGTTTATTATGTGAATTGGGATCTTCTGGATTAATAGCAAGATATTCTGACCTTCGTTTCAATATGTCACAAACAGTATTTTCACGAACTTTAAAACTAATAGCAAGATCTCTATTTGTTGGAGTAGGTTTTGATTGTCTTAGAACACATATTTCTCTTTTATCTTTCAACGCAGTGTATTTTTCATTTTAATACGACTGTAAATCATTTTATAAAATTGTACAAAATAAAGCGAAGTTTCCTTCGATAAACCGATATTATTCGTCTTATCAAGTTATAGTTTACTATATACGGAACCATATGAAAATATCGTCTTAAACATTAAAGTGAAACAATTAACAATAAGTATGTGGGCGTGTTCTCATTCTCATCAAATTTGGCCTAAATTTTCATTTTAAAATTATAAGTTGCGTTAAAATTTTATAATTAAAATAATAAAAACCAACCTGGCCAAGGGATATTCCAAAAAGCAAATTAAAGTTTCACGGGAACGAATTTATTTCTTAAGAATCAAGATTGGACAATGACAATGGCAATTATCATTGAGGTAAAATAATTTTTTGAGGAAAAATTTTTTACTTTCCTTGGGTGTTTGATTTAAAAAGAGAATCAAAAATTCTGATTGAATTTTGGTCAAATCAAATTGAATAACATTAAAACTTCCTTTATGATCCAATTAAATAAATGTCAGTTACTTTTTTTTTTTTTTAATATATAAATTGTAAAGTAACATTGCTACAAATTTTACAAACGTTTGTAAAATTTGTTTAGTTTAGAACTAAGAAAACCCAGGATTTAATTTTTATTATTCGGTTGAAAACTTCAAAGAGGAAGGTAGAGCCTTTGATCATAAATGGTAAAGTTTTTACTGATAAAGTTCAATAAGTAAAATGACTAGCAAAAGCTTTTTTATTATGAGAGGGCAGGGAAAACACTATGAATCGAAAGTACATTAAAAAAAAAAAGAAAGGTAACCGCGACACTATAATTCGGGTCAATAGAGAATTAAATTTAAATCTAAATAAGGAAAAAAATCACGCGATAGGGTTTTCCTAAACAGAAAAATCAACCAACAACTTTCGAAATATGATGAGAAGGCTCATCTATTAAGTATTATGTTGTTTATCATCAATTTTTTATTATATACAAACATTTATATTCAATAACCACTTCTTTTCATTATTTTCGTTGATTATATGCATCCATTGAGAAAGGTGAAGAAGCTTTTCACTTTTTCCTCAAATGGGATTAAATTTATTAAATTCGTCTCTTTGTATGTATATGGGATTTTTTTATTATTCGCGTAATGATTTTTTCAATCATTAGATTTTACTGTTAAACTTGAAATATTTCTATATTGATGTTATGAAAAAATGTGGGGATGGCTAGCCTATTTGTATGTTTGAATTAAATAAAATAGACTATTGTCTTGGATCCAAGATGTGATGATAATAAAATAAAAATAAAAGTCAAAAGACTTACATTGCATTCTCAGTTATAAATTTGTTAATCAACCCCCCCCCCCCTCCGTGCCAGTCAGTAGTGATCTTTATCAGGCTAAC